TAAGAAAAACAAATTTGGCCATCATGAAATAAAACATAGAACCTCCAGTTTTATAAATAATCCATAAGTTGGAAGTAAATGTTTACATGCAATCATCAAAATCATCATTTGATGTTATGATTCTTACTTTTCTAAAAGTTAAATTGTATTTTTGTCGTGATGAAAAATGAGTTAATTGATGAACATAAAGTTTTAGTCATGAGGAACCTACAGTAACATTCTGCACTATATATGAATGAAATGTTTGCAATAAATAAGAATCTGAAAGAAAAGTTTTATAACCTACCAGGTGCAGTGATGTTGACTGCATTGCTGAACTCTCCTGATCCAGACTCACACCAGAAAACTCCACTATCCAACAGGTAGCTGTCGATACATGTAGATCCATTCATTTTCCCCAGATGGAGCAATCTGATAGTGACTTTCTTTCTGTAAACCTCCTCACTCTCCACTCAGTAAAGTTTCCCTCACAGCTCAGAGACACAGAGTCAGAGCTGAAGTGTTGAACTCTGTCAGGATTCACTGAGAGAGAAGCTGCTGGACCAGGATCTAAAATTTATATAGAAAGACATTTAATCTAGAATAAAGCTGAAAACAGATTTACTGTCTTAAGTCAAATATTAATCCTATCATAGCAAAAAACTAATCATATAAAATGTCTTCAACAAAAACTTGTCTCAAAAGACACAAACTGCGGTTTATGAGTGATTTTGGAGGTGGCCTGTTTTTGTCAAAAGCACCAAAACTTTTACTTTTCACTTTTTCATTTTATGTTTTTATTGCTGTTTTGGATTCAAAATTCAACAATGTATGAAAATCAAGATAAAAACTTTGACATTTCTTCTTTACTTTGATGATAAATGTAATTAATTTACTGCTAAAGATAAAGTAGGAACAATGTAAACAGATCATTAGTTGCTCATTGAAAGGAGACACATCGAAACAAACTGACCTGCTGAAAAGACAAAACTTGGATCTCTGTAGTTTGGTTTTTCACGTCCTGCTTCACACACATAACCTGCTGTATTATTGAGTCCATGAACAATGTAGAAATTCTCATCAGTCCCATCAGAGCTGCCAGGCAGCAGCTCATAGCTGTAGGATCTGTGTGGTGGATCAGGAACAGCTTTATACCAGAAGAACCTGGTTCCTGAAGGTGAAGGTTCAACCTCACAGCTCAGAGTCACTGAGGCTCCAGGACTCAGCCATGATGGAGACACAGAGAGTTCATCTGTTGGAGAGTTTCTATGTCAATAAAAGGCTTCAGTTTAAAGAAAAATATCTCGACAAGCTGTCAGAAACTCAGTGTCGTTAGAGAACTCAGATTATTTTCAGACACTTAGTAAAAAGCACTTTTTGCCTCCAACTCTTCTGCACTTTATGAAGGAATTCATGCAGTTCTAACTTTGAAATATTTTATTTTCTCAGACCGTCAGAAATGACTCAATGAGAAAATTTGTTTTTATTTATAGTAGCTGTTTTTGTACATCTGTCAAAAATATACCTTTAACTAAAGGTTTGTACCTTTAAAACTAAGACAGCTCTGGGGGAAAACAAACATTTATGCTCAATTTGTAACATGTATTTTAATTAAAATATCAGTCGTTTTGTATCGCTGAGGAAGAACTGGTTGATAATCCAAAAAATCTGACCAACCAGTTTATCAGGACTGTCTAAAGAACAAACATGATGATGATGAAAAAAAACATTTACCTTTTAACGAATTATCACTTATTTGCATCAAACATGTTAAAAAATGTGCAATAAGTTTTTTATATGAAATATTTATAATCAACTTACACAGAGTTAATACGACAACATCGCTCCAGTCTGTTGATTCATCTCCACTTGTTCCTCTGCAGCTGTATTCTCCACTATCAGACTCTTTAGCTGAAAGTATGATAATGTATTCCTGGGATGTTTGAGGTTCATTTAACCTGGTTGGTCTCCATTCAAAGGTCCACTTTCTTCCTTCTCCTCCTGGGATCTCACACTGGAGAATAACTCCCTCACCTTTGTATATCAGAGGCCAGTTTGGGTTCAGGGTCACAGTGGCTCGATTGAGAACTGTTCACATAAACAACATAATGTATTAGTTTAAAAGAAACAGTGAATCACAAAAAGACGTTGAAATACATGCATGTTTTAACGTGCATGCGTTTGAACCTCTTCAACCCTGAGAGATTCAAACCTCTCAGGGTTGAACCTGTACCCACAATGCCACTGCAGACCACAACGTCACAATGAGCAACTCAAACATCGACACATTCAATTCCTATCCAGCAGATTTTTAGGTTGAGAAGAGATTAAATCCTAATAGGAGTTTGAAAACTCTTAATCTATCCTGCCGTTGCAAATTCATAGACATGTTGAAAACACAAGGATGCTTTAAAATATATATAAATATAAAAATGTGGTTGTGCTATTATAGGCAGAAATGTCACAAATGTTTGCTTATATTCTCAGTGAACAGTTTCCTGTGTCTTCATTCAGTCTGCAAACCAACAGAAACCTTATCAAGCATGAGAAGATAGATAAACTTTCAGGCTCATATGGAGCAGTTTTTGCTCTCGTCTTATTGGTTCAGAGTTTTACTTCCAAAACAACCTGGAAATAAAACTTCAGGTTGGTTTGAGGTGAAACAAGCAGCACAAAACGTAGCAGTAAAAGGTCAGCAGCTGACGCTGGTATACTGGACGATCTTTGGTCCTGTGGGTTCGTTTCGTCTCCAGATCTTTGGAGAACTTTGTCGTCACACTCCAAAAGATTTGTGAGTTGTTCCAAACAGCAGTGGATTTTTAACACAAATATGTTATTCTCTGTCGGAAAACCCAACAATTGTTCTTACCAATGAATAATAAAGCCAAAAGAAAGTAAAATATATTGCGGCTTCTCATTCACTCTAGCAATATTTTAAGGTTTCGCAATGACATCGCGGCTCCTTGCATCTCAACTTTGAACTTTGTGGGTTATGAAGAGTTCAGGTCTTTCCACAGAAATACCTTCGTGTTTCTGCTATTTACACAAGAAGTTTCACAATTCCACCACCAGTTCGATAGATACCACTATTAATAAAATATTAGGCATGAAAAGTCAAGACCACAGAACTAGGAAATGTGTCTCACCATTGACGTATCCACTGATGACTGAGCTGAACACTGAATAAACCAGACACATTTAGGACAAAGTCAGCACAACGGGTCAATCGGGAAGAAACAAAAATGCAATAAGAGAGAAAAACTGGCATTTAAGAACATTTCTGAAAGTGTTTAATACAACAATACAGCTGATACTTGCAGTATCTCTTTAATTAGAGACAAGGAGGCATTTTGAGAAAATCTTAGTTCATCTAATGATGTATTTTTAACGTTAATAAATGTACTCACAGAATAGCGCGTAAAGCCAAGTGTTTCCCATCCTCACATCTCGACCTGCTGAACAACTATAACCAGGAAATCTTCTATCTTGTGAGAAAAAAAGAGAAGTTCCCAGAATACTTCTTCTTCATAGCTGTCTACGTGTTTCCTTCCCATTACTCAGTTTTAAAAACTGCAGCAGCTTTGACCGCAACGGTTGCTCAATATATTTATGCGTCCTATCGGCTGCAGGGGTTTCTGACTCCTCTGCAGCCGAAGCGCGCTGCACGCAATCTGATAGGTTTGTTGAATAAATTTAGAGGGTCTAAAGTTGTTATTGCTCAATTACACACATTTTAACTAAACTTGTTTTTCGCCTGCAAAAAAAGAAAAAGTTGCACAAGTGTCTTGTGCAAACTACTTCCTTTAGTGTCACCTTCCTAAAATGATGGCCTTAGTTGTTGTTTTGCATTTGTTTTTCAACAAAAGTGAAAAATTTCTTCTGGTAAAAAAAAAGAGAAAAAAAAGTCATAGGTCATTACTTGAGGAAGGTGATGATATACAATCACAACTCGAAAAATCTAAATGTCATGGAAAACTTACCTCAGAAAGTACATAGGTTCATTACACAGAGTGAGATATTTAAAATTTATTGCTTGTAATTCTGGGGATTGTGGCTCAGATTTAATGACAAATTAAAGTTTATCTATGCTATGTGAAAAATTAATATTGTTTTAAAATTAGTCAGGCAAAAAAGCTCCTAAGTTAGAAGCTCAAAAATCTCACTTTTTCCTCTCCCTACATGCAAATTTTCAAACATGAATTAGATAAATTAAAAGCCGATAGATTATGCTCAAAACCAATATTGGTCCTTCATCAGCATGTATGTCATCAAAACTATGAAACATATTATATTATTTTTTTTCGTTTTATTGACAAAATGCTTCATGTTCATAAATGCAGCTTTCTTTAAAGCAAAGTTTATCTCGTATTTAGCAGCATGATCCAGCTTAGCTTGCGGTATCCATGGTGATTTCTGAATAAACAGCCTCATCTGTTGCAGCAGGACTCCATGATCCTGGAAACGGAGAGACGGTTTGCTGAAAATATTTGTCAAGGTAATCTTTAATAACGATGCCGACATAAGTTTAACGCAAAACTCAAAAAGGATGAAAGACAAACGTCACTCTGCAGTTCCTTATTCTGCAGCCAGGCAACTTTTTATACTATAAGTATAAAAATGGAAAATAAAATTATAAAATCATCAGTTTATTGGAAAACTGTTGAATTATAACAACAGCTGACAGACAGACGTATGAAACACCAACTGATGCAAATCATATTAAGCTGCGGCATGATGTCACGAAGATGTATTTCAGTAAAAAGATCAACTATTGTGGCTGATTGTACCTGAATCTCCTGTTCTCAGTACAGAGTAAGGAGTGCGCTCATGAGGCCTCCCTATAAAAACAAGACAGGGTCAAAAGTGTTGAGCGTTTTCGTCTCCAGCTGCTCGTTCTGTGCTGTTTGAGACTCACTCTTGTGTCCTGCTTTCGTCACTTCAATAAGAGAATATGCAGGACCTTCAGGTTCTTCTGCAAATAAAATACGGGACGATACGTCAGTTACTGATGATCAGGCTCATTACATCATCAAGTCTTTGAAAATTAATACCTTGTCCTCCACTTTCGGGTATTGAACTGACTCGTAGAAGTGAGTGTCACCTAAAGTGTAGAAAAATATATAAACATATTTTAAAAGGATCGAGGAAGGTTAACACGTCTGGTTCACGAGGTTTCCCTCATGACATAATCCAGAAAAACAATAAATTAAAGAAAATGATGTGGTTTTTTTATGCTGTGTGTTGTTTTCCTAAGTGGACTCATATAATACATAACTACCATTATCACTCAATTAAAAAAAAATACATTACCATCTCCTGCAGCTCCCTGGGATGTGACTGACCCATAGATGCCAACATCACCTAAAGAGCAGGAAAAGAAACAAACAAACTTGATCAACAAAGTAACAACTTCTACAACTTAATAGTAAAATTAGCACTTAGTTTCCTTTTGTTGGCATAAATTATTGTCTGGCAGGAAAGAAAAAACATGAAAATAATTTATATCAAATTCTGACCGAGACGAAGAGTGTTGTAACCATGGCTTCCAGTCTGGTTGATGACATCATTTCTGTTGGACTGATTGGAGCTGAAACGGTGAATTTGAGTCAACAAACTATTATTGATGCACATCTGGGGTGAAATATGGCAATGTGTGGCACCAACCTGATACACCACGAGTCTGTAAAAGACAATAGTTATATTATCTTGTTGTTCAAGCTGCCATGTTGCTACAACAACAAAATGTGGTTTGATGTTTTAAGTAAGAGTTTTTCTGATCTCACCTTTGGACCGACGACAGCACCACAACAAGAGCAGGAGAATAATGAGAATAATGAGAACGATTCCAACAACCAGTCCAACGATCAGCTTGTCAGGAAATGTAGAGCTGCCACGACTGGACACAGCTGCTGGAAATAAGAAAAACATTGAAAAGAAAGCAAATTATTTACTAATTTTTATAAGCCTACTTTCTGTTTGCATTGAAAACATGACGTTTCCCAATAATATCTTAACACTAAACACTTTTGTGTTTTTCAGATGTATTTTTGATGATGATACCAAATGACAAAAAAGCAGGCCAGGTCATAAACTTTGGAGTGAATTAAGATCTTATTTCTATTAAAAAAGGTACAGCAATGTCCATCCAATCAACACTGTTTTGTGTTGTTGACTCAACTGCAGCAACTTGATTTTCTCTCTGCAATATTATTTTCCAATCCGATATACTGAAAAATCTTCTTCAAAATGTTTTTGTGGTGTAAATGTACCAATTTTCACATGTATGAGAAAAAGTGAACTTTTGAAGGACTTTTAAACCAATTACAGAAAAGAAAAATTTGAATATGAATTTACTGACAGCCAGGTTTCACCTACGTTAAGAATGGATAAATAAAATCCATCAAATATTTTATCCCTCCTCACCTCTAACAGACTCCAGCTCCTGGTGACTCTTTTTCTGAATGTTTACATTTGTAGAAACCTTCATCTGACTTTGACACTGCAGAGATATTCAGCTCCTCTCTGCTGTCATTATTGATGAGTTTATCATTATGATAGAAAAACACATTGGAGAGAAATTGTTGTTTATTTCTGCAGCTCAGAGTAACAGGATTTCCCTCAGTCACAGGATGAACAGGGCTCACCAGGATAATATCATCATAATAATAACCTGTAAAAATATAATATCACATTTCAGAGGTGATTTTTAGAATAGAGTGACAGAGAAACTTCAGTTAAAAAATAATCAAATACAAGCAGTTTTTTTCTTTTGCCAAGATTTAACACTCAATTTCAAGTCAAATTAAAGAATACCTCAATGTGAATTGTATCACTTTCTGCACATATAAAGTAGAGAAAAGCTGTAAATATACAAGACTTGACTGTCATTATTATGGATTCCTAACTAAAAGTAAATAAATTAATGTCAATAATAATAAATTGGTTTCAGTTAACAATGTACTGGGATGAAAGAGAGTAAAAATTTTGATTATTTTTATGTACAAAGTGTGTAATAACAAACAAGAAATAATACTCACCATGTACAGTGATGTTCACTGCATTGCTGAACTCTCCTGATCCAGACTCACACCAGTACACTCCACTATCAGACCAGTACTTGTTGATGGTGCATGTAGATCCAGTCATTGTCCCCCAGGTGGAGCAGGTAAAGTCTGACAGTCGGCCTGTTTCTGTAAACCTCCTCACTCTCCAGTCAGTGGAGTTTCCTTTGCAAGTCAGTGTGACGGATTCAGACCAAAAGTGTTGAACTCTGTCAGGACTCACAGTGAGAGAAGCTGCTGCTGACCTGAAAAAACAAAATACATTTTAAAGATTTTACTTCAAGACAAAAGTATGTACAATGTTTACTTCACATGATTAAGGTATTACCTTTATACAGAAAACCAGAACATTTAATCAACTAAATGAAATTAACGAACAAAGCTGTGAAAGTTTTGTCATTCTGTTAGACCTTTGATAAAGAAAGAAAGAAAAGAAAGAATTAAAGAAAGAAGAAAGAAGAAAGAAAGAAAGAAAGAAAGAAGAAAGAAAGAAACAAAGAAAGAAAGAAGAAAGAAAGAAAGAAAGAAAGAAAGAAAGAAAGAAACGAAAGAAAGAAAGAAAGAAACAAACAACTGACCTGCAGACCAGATAAACTTTATTTCACTGTAACGAGTGTAAAAACTTTGGTTCTCCTCTCCTGCTCTGCACTGATATCCTGCTGGTTTGAGTCGGTCCATTAATGATGAAGGAGTTCTGCTCAGTCCCATTGATGCTGTGCCAGGTAGAGTCATAAGTGTAGGATGGTTGATTCAGCTTGGACAGATCAGGAACAGCTTTATACCAGAAGAACCTCCATCCTGCTGATTGAAGCTCCAAACCCTCACAGCTCAGAGTCACTGAGGCTCCAGGATTCGGCCATGATGGAGACACAGAGAGGACAGGCTGAGGTTTGGGAGCTGGAGAGAGAGGAGGTATAAACATACATACACACATGTAGAAATATTTTATTACATATTAAGATTTGCTAGTAAAATCCCTGTAAACATTATTCATACATGGGTGAACTCACAGGACACTGTTAATGTGATGATTCCCCACTTTGTTATGGTGAAAAAACCGTCTCTTCTTCCTCTGCATTTATAATCTCCACTGCTATCAGCAGTGATCATGGATTTGCTGGATGTTGGAGAGTTTCTATTGGTTGGAATCCATTCATACGTCCACTGAGTTCCCATCATCCTGGATCTCACATCTCAGAGTGATTTCCTCTCCTCTGTAGATCTGAGACCAGTTGGGTTGTTGGATCACAGTTGGTGTGATGGGAACTGTTCACATGAGTAACAGAGAGGAGATATTTCCAAACACCAAATAAAGAGACACATACACATTATTTACTAATGTCTGAAACCAAATCTCTCTTGTTTTAAGTTAGTTAGAATTAACTAAATTATTTATATTTGCTAAATGCCAGAAAATTTAGTGAAAATATCTTTTGAAGAATTTTTTTTGTAGCTTTTCTCATTTAAATAACTTCAAACAAGAAAGCAGTGAGTTTCAGGTCCGCCTTCAATTAACTCAAATGTTAATTGAAGGCTAATTAATTGATAATTAACCTATCAAAAGTTGAGGAAGGAAACCCAAAAGATTTGACTCAAGTCAGACAGTTTAAAAGACAAAAAAGGTAAATACATTTCTTAATTCAAAGAAAGATACAAAAAAATCTCACATGTGCTCACTATGTTTTTTTAAATCTCATTTAGCAAACAGAAATAATTTGGGTCGTTCTGGTTGAACTACAATAAGAAAATGTTTGATTTACTTCATACACTGAGAAAACAATTTTAATAACTTTTGATCCAGTGTATGTGAATATCTGTCTAATAACTCTCATTAAACTAACAAAATAAAATGATCACTGGTAAAGAACAATAAAGCAAAACAAAGCAGTATTAGACATATAATATGCACTTCCTATAAATTACTGGCTTACAGCCAGAATGTTGCACTGTTTGCATCACATAATCACATTTGTGACAGTTTTTCCATCAAACAGACATAAGTTGCTGCAGTAAATCCTCTGTCAATATCAACATAGAAATTGATTGTCTGGTTTAAATATCAACATGAACAGGAGCAAATTTTCTGCTTCCAGGCTTCATTAGATGGAGTTACAGATGATGATCGTTGCACTGGAGTCATAATACTTTTAACACCACTGATGAACAAAGAAGCACTAAAGATGTTTAATTTCACATAAAGACAAGTTTACCTGTTTTCTGAATAGTGACCTTTCCGCTGGTTTCAGTGTAGAAAACTGGATCTCCTCTTCCTCCTCTGCAGCCGTACTCTCCTCCCTCTGAGATGAAGAGGACTCCGTCTGATTCACTGGTTCTGATGGACTGAGCTGCAGAAGAATCTGACTCCAGTTTGAACCAGTCAAACTTCCAGCCAACTCCATTGTCAATAAGGCAGGTCAGTGTTACACTGCCCCCTGCTGGTATGATGTTATCACTTGCTGTTAGTGAAGCTTTGGGTCGATTTGCTGATTGAAACAGAAAACAAGACAAGCTTTAGAAAGTGGCTTGTTTGAGGAAACAATCTGTTCAGATCAACTTTAACTTCTGAGTCACTTATGCTGTTTGATGTTTTATGTTTCCTGGTCAAGTTATTGTTGAAAATTAGAATTCATTCCTAATCAATTTACCTGATTAAAAAGAAATATTAAACTAATCTTTCAAAAACCAGTATTTGGAAGCGTGACTAGAATCAACTGAACTTCACTTCCATTTCTAAAACTACAGACAAAGTACAAATCTAAAACAACACAGAAAAGCAACATTCATAACTTCTCCTTCTGTTCTCTGATTGGCCCAATAGAAATTCTACTGGAGAAAATCCAAGTCAATGGGAGAAAGCCCAGACAGAGCACTGAAGAGAGATCAGAACTAAGTGTTGCTGCATAGGAAGGCAATGGCCAGGCTCACATAAAGTAGTCTAAACCTGTTATAAAATACCAAATTATTTCTGATTTACCATTTAACATGAGAACTAATGCAGATTTTTAGGAGTTTTGCATCCAAAAATGTTGTCTGGTGTTCTAGGATTGTGAGAATGAGGATGTTTCTGTTAGCCTTACATTTCACTGTCAGTGGAAAGTGAAAACTCCAGCCTGAGTTCTGATCTCCTTTACTAGCCATACAATAGTAACTCCCACTGTCAGACTCAGAGACGCTGTTGATGCTGTATTCATTGGATGTTGGAGAGTTTCTATTGTCTGGACTCCATTCATACGTCCACTGAGTTCCTTCATCGTCCTCCATCTCACATCTCAGAGTGACCGTCTCCTCTGAATACGACAGGCCAGCTGGGATGCCGCTTCACAGTCGGCGCAGACACTAAAATGTATAATATTCAATCAGAAGACAGAAAATTATATTGAGAAAAACACTGAAAACGTTGAATTCTTATAGCTTATGATTATCAGCCTCATTAAATGATATGCAAATAAAACATTTTTATATTTACTGACAAAGAAAAAAAGACATGTTATGTTTTAAGGTGAATCACAAACTGAGCTCAACAAACGGTAATAAAACTTGACAGATAAACAGATAATATTTTAAAGCAGCTTTTTTTTTTATTTCAGAATAGAACTGAACTCACCAATTTTCTGAATGTTGCTTTTTTCTGTGAAAAACTGGATTTCCTCTTCCTCCTCTGCAGCTGTAGACACCTCTCTCTGAGACACTGACGTCACTTTGTTGTTCACTGGTTCCACTGAGCTGAACTGGTTCATCATTTCGGAACCAATCAAACTTCCAGTCATCAGATTCGTCCACATAGCAGGTCAGTGTTATGCTGCCCCCTGCTGGTATGATTGTTCTGTGTGCTGTCAGTGTGGCTTTGGGTTTATCTGCTGAGGGTTTTAAATAAACAGGAAAGAAAAGAAAATCATATTAGTGACCAATCTTTGCTTGGTGGTTTCTCTGTTTTGCTTTTGGTGATAATTTATTATTAACATGTGAAAAGCTTATTAGGAAAAATCACATTATTGCCAGACAAGGGGAAAATACGTCGGTCGCATAAATGAAACTCACTAAACATTGCAAACATATACAATACAGTCTTGAAAGAAGAATATGACAGGAGAAACAGCAATGCATTTGGATTCACAAGGTCCGGTTTCTGAATCAGTCATGTGATTCGGTCCAATTGGGAGGCTTCAAACGTCACCGCCTGTTTCTACACCACAAGCCTCGATACAATAACCCTCATTGATTACTTGATACACGCTCTTTAATGCCTCAACACAGAGGCCACATCACTAAATCATATAAGAACTTCAAAAAACTAAACTATTTTAACACTAAACTGTCTTAAAATGTTGAGTATAGCTTTGTACCACATTAAATGCTTTACTGTGAACTGCAGAGTGACTCTGTAGTGTTTACTTCAGTGACATGAAGCTGTTTATATTTATCTAACAGAAAGTCTTTTGCTTTTATTTTGCTTGTAGTCAGAAATAACAGAAAACCTGGTTTTATATTAAATCCAAACAATATAAAGTTTCTAAATCAGACTCACATTTCACTGTCAGTGTGACGCCATCGCTCATTCTGTTTGTTGATGAACTCCTGTAGCCATACAGCTGTAAAACTCCACTGTGATAATCATAGACTTCATTGATGCTGTATTCACTGGATCTTATTTGAATGTCTCCATTTTTTTCCATTCATATGTCCACTGAGTTCCTCCTCCTTCCTTGATCTCACATCTCAGAGTGACTTTCTCTCCTCTATATACAACAGACCCACTGGGTTGTCGGTTCACAGTCGGCTTGGAAACTATTCAACAAAAACAAAACAGTTTTCGACATGAAAACAGTCAGAAATATCCTTATATTATCTCTAATGTTCACCTGTCTGATACCCACATCAACAATGTTTAAGCAAACATTTTCTGGCTGAATATTTAATAAATCAAAAGTACAATTTTATAGAAACTATGTTAATTTCTGGGCTCATAATCTCCATGATTTTTTTTATTTTAACAAACATGTTAATTGTGTTTTCTAACTCAAAGACAGCACTTGTAATTTTTGACAGCTGACTGAATATTTATTTCAAAACCTTTACTTAAGAGAACAAGACTACAGAAAACATGTGAAACATTACAAATGAGTATATCCTTCCCTACATTTTAATAGAAAATAACTCTAATAAACTTAAGGTGTTACATTACTATGTAAGAGTCAAGTAACAGTAAGAGGAACATTTGAACCCTAAACGGCTTCAAAATGCAACAAATCAACATTTGGAGAGATGCAGCGAAAAGGTTTTAGCGAAGCATCAAATCGAAGATGAATGTAAACTCCAAATGTATCAATTAAAAAATAATTAATCTTCACATTAACAGAATCAATATTTCATTTTAAGGCATCATCAAACAGAGGTGCAGTCTTGCAATTACTGTTTTACTATGGTTCCAACATTATGGCGACTAAAACACAACTGATAAACAAATTCTAGATTTAGAGAGAGATTTTTATTTCATTACAAAATTAAGAACAAACTTACCATTTCACAACAGAAATTTTATCACTTATTTCAGTTTGAAAACTTGAATATTTTCTTCCTCCTCTGCAGCTGTACTCTCCTCCCGCTGATACAGAGATAACTCTGTTTGGATCTCTGTTTCCTGTCGCTGCAGAATATTGTTGATCATTTCTGAACCAATCAAACTTCCAGTCATCAGATCCGTCCACGGAGCAGGTCAGTGTTGTGCTGCCCTCTAGTGGTATGAATGTTGGGTCTGCTGTCAGTGTGGCTCTGGGTTTATCTGCTGTTGGATTAAAGCAAAATGAAAGTGACTCAATAATCAAACTATTAATTAATTCATGACAAGTTTAAAAAACGTAATCATCTTAAAAAGATGAATGTGTTAAATTCTTATTTACTTCAGTGACATGTAGCTGTTTTTATTTATCTAACAGAAAGTCTCTTGCCTTTATTTTTTTTGTAGTCAGAAATAACAGAAAACCTGGTTTTATATTAAATCCAAACAATATAAAGTTTCTAAATCAGACTCACGTTTCACTGTCAGTGTGACGTCATCGCTCCATTCTGTTTGTTGATGATCTCCTGCAGCCATACAGCTGTAAACTCCACTGTGATATTCAGAGACTTCATTGATGCTGTATTCACTGGATCTTATTTGAATGTCTCCATTGTTTTTTCTCCATTCATATGTCCACTGAGTTCCTCCTTCCTTGATCTCACATCTCAGAGTGACTTTCTCTCCTCTATATACAACAGACCCACTGGGTTGAAGGATCACAGTCGGCTTGGAAACTATTCAACAAAAACAAACAGTTTTCAACATGAAAACAGTCAGAAATATCCTGATATTATCTCTAATGTTCACCTGTATGACACCCACATCAACAATGTTTAAGCAAACATTTTCTGGCTGAATATTTAATAAATCAAAAGTACAATTTTATAGAAACTATTTTAATTTCTGAGCTTATAATCTGCATAATTTTTTATGTTATTTTAACAAACATGTTAATTGTGTTTTCTAACTCAAAGACAGCACTTGTAATTTTTGACAGCTGACTGAATATTTATGTCAAAAGCTTTACTTAAGAGAACAAGACTACAGAAAATATGTGAAACATTACAAATGAGTAAATCCTTCCCTGCATTGTAATAGAAAATAACTGTAATAAACTTAAGGTGTTACATTACTATGTAAGAGTCAAATAACAGAATCAGTATTTCATTTTAAGGCATCATAAAATAGAGGTGCAGTCTTGCAATTACTGTTTTATTATGGTTCCAACATTATGGCGACTAAAACACAACTGATAAACAAATTCTAGATTAAAGAGAGATTTTTATTTCATTACAGAATTAAGAAATAAACTTACCAATTTTCACAACAGAGATTTTATCACTTTTTTCAGTTTGAAAACTTGAATATTTTCTTCCTCCTCTGCAGCTGTACTCTCCTCCCTCTGAGACATAGATAACTCTGTTTGGATCTCTGTTTCCTCTCGCTGCAGAATATTGTTGATCATTTCTGAACCAATCAAACTTCCAGTCATCAGATTCGTCCACAGAGCAGGTCAGTGTCGTGCTGCCCCCTGCTGGTATGAATGTTGGGTCTGCTGTCAATGTGGCTCTGGGTTTATATGCTGTTGGATTAAAACAAAATAAAAGTGACTCAATAATCAAACTACTAATTAATTCTTGACATGTTTACAAAACTTAATCATCTTAAAAAGTTGAATATGTTCAAATTTACTTTAGTGACATGTAGCTGTTTTTATTTATCTAACAGAAAGTCTCTTGCTTTTATTTTGCTTGTGGTCAGAAATAACAGAAAACCTGGTTTTATATTAAATCCAAACAATATAAAGTTTCTAAATCAGACACATTTCACTGTCAGTGTGACGCCATCGCTCCATTCTGTTTGTTGATGATCTCCTGCAGCCATACATCTGTAAACTCCACTGTGATATTCAGAGACTTCATTGATGCTGTATTCACTGGATCTTATTTGAATGTTTCCATTGTTTGTTCTCCATTCATATGTCCACTGAGTTCTTCCTCCTTCCTTGATCTTACATCTCAGAGTGACTTTCTCTCCACTATATACAACAGACCACTGGGTTGAAGGATCACAGTTGGCTTGGAAACTATTCAACAAAAACAAAACAGTTTTCATCCGGAAAACAGACAAAAAATCCTTTGGGTTGTTTGCATGTGTGATATGCAGGTAAAGACAGGAAATATATTTTTAACAGCTAACTGATTGTTTTTCTATTGCTTCAGATGACAAAATCTCAAAAATTTAGACTTATTTTTTCCACAGCATCTTTTTCCAAACTAACTTTGCACTAAACACTAATTTATCTTAGCTAACATACATCTGGATTAAAATCAAGTAACAAAAAGACGAGCACATGAACTCTAAGTTACTTCAAAATCCAGTTGATCAAACCTTCAGTATTAGAAATGGAAATATGCAGCAAAAAGGGTTTAAACATGAAACTGAAGATACTGAAGATAAATGATAACTAAAAATGTCTCAATTAAAATTTATAACATGAACAGAAACATTTCATTTTAAGGCGTCATGAAATGGAGTTTCAGTCATATAAATACTGTTTTATGAAGTGTCATAGGAAAAGACACCGCCGTTGGTGAGCTGTCAGAGAAACCCCTGAGAGCTCAGAAACTATCATGATAATAACTTAATAATGATTAAAAAATTAGAGTCACATCATAGTTTTTGTATTGGGAAAAAAGTAAAAGTAGAGAATTTATAAATGTTTCTCTGGGGTCACTATGTGGAGTTATTATTGAACATTATTTCAGGATGTTCTGCTTTCCTGTCTCAAAACTTCATTTGTGAACCAAACAGTTGCATCAATTCTGACTAACAGTTTGATCAGCCATGTTTTTGTTTTTTTTTTCTCAGAGAATTTTTGTTGGCTCTTGTGGCCCGTATCTTTTTTTTTAAGTTGGCTGACAGGAAAGAGGGGACGCAGAGAGAGGGGAAGACATGTGGCAAATGTCGAACCCACAACGGCTGCGTCGAGGACTAAGGCCTCCATACGTGGGTTGTGCTAAACCCCTACGCCCCCAGCACGCCCCTGATCAGTATTTTTGCAGAACAAACGGAGAGTAATTTAGACCAGGAAGCTGTTGGTCCTCTTTTTCTAATTGGACATTCCAGATGATTGAAACCCAACGCGAGTATTTTGCCCAAAGTACAAAAAATATGCGTTTTTTGTCATTTTTTAATTGTGGAGTATATCCTGCTCTTTAGATTTGCCAGCCATTTTCAGGTTAGCAACTGGAACTTAATTATCTTAATTATAACTGGGCCGAACAGTATAGCATATGAGGATACCTTAAGACTGCAGCTGATGGTAAATTGTGGAACAGATGGATGAAATTGTCAGTCACAACTGAACTGTTGTCAGGTATATTAATACATAATTATCAGCAGACTAATGTATGGTTATATGGTCGTGTTGTCAAATTCACACAAATGTCTTATAGACTGGTTAGTTTAGTCACCAGTTAGTTCAGTAACTGGTTAATTCAACTTTGTTCTTTTAGTCAGAGCATGAAACTTAAGTGGTTAAAAACGATGCATCCTGTTTTAGGTGCTGGTGAGATCCTGTGGTGGTTGTGGTCGGTACATTGGGTTTTAGCTGACAGCCAGAAGGGAAAAGTCGAACTATAAAAAAACATCTAGTCACTGGTTGTTAGTTTAGTTTCACTTGCCTATAAATTTGTACTTATACTTAATAGGGCTGCAACGCTAGACAAAACATCATACTAGCTGTATTAAAATGAAAAATCTGATAAAAAAACATCAATACATTACAGAAACTAAATGAGAAAAAATGAAATATATTTCTCACCTTCAGTGTTTCCATAAAAGATCACACAGAGCACTGAAACAAAGATAACTTCTTTAGGAGACATTTCTATCAAACTGACACAATTAGTGATATTACATTTAAACATTTGTATTTTCACATGAAAATAGCTTTTTATTAACTCACATTGCCTAACTGGGCCATTAAAATGTTACTTTAAGTGCCAGATGAACATTTTCAACCAGTTTTCCACTTTTATACAAAATGCCAATAGAGATTCAGTAATTTACTTACCGAAGAAGTTCAGCCTCAGCAGCAGCTCGTTCCTCATCCTCACATGCAGATCAAATGCGAGGTCTACCTGACTACCTATGTGTAGACTGTCGGTTTCCTCCCCGCTTTGGTGGCAGCCGTTATTAGAAGCCGTTATGCTTCCTGTCCGCTGCATGTTCACTTGTGCAAAGATCTGCGCTTGGCCTTTTGAAAAACACTCAACCAAAATTGCACAGATGTAAATAGGTGATGTGGATTTCTGCATATGCATGAAATTGTGGTGCAAAAATTATTAGAGAGCTTGTTCTTTTAAAATGTGTTTATAAATACAATATTATATCCTTGTACTGCATTGTTTTAGCATCAGTCATCCACTCTAAGGTGAAGCTCTATTACAAGGAATGCTTTAAAAACCAAGTTTGTGACGCTCATGGAGACTTTTTGTAAAAGATCTGCAGGTGTAACTACAACTAAACATGATGCTACAAAGTAGCTAGACAAGTTGATGCACATGGCAACTACACTAACCACAGTAATACCACTATTGTTGCGCTACTTTCCACACTCTCACAAGTATTGCTTGTTATTCATTTAGAGCTGAGCACATTTACTGACCACATAGAGAAGGTGTTGCTGTTAGCTCTGATAGGGAGCTCTGCAAAGTCACATGATTCATTTGTTCTGTACGTGTCTGACATCGTTCCTCTACGCGTCATTATGCAAAGTTTTGTGGCCTTCACAGCAGGCCTAAAACTGTGACTTATGTGAAACTAAATTGTTGTTTAATGATAGCATCGTGCTGTTAGCCTGATGTGGCTGTGATGCCAGAAAAACAACAGCAGTCACGGCGTTGCTAATGGCCAGCAGGTTGTGGTGTGGCTGTGTGCTTAAAAGCTTGTGAAGCAAAAAACTGATGATTCAGAACCGATTTTATTGCCAAAGATGAATTAATAGATCAGTCTTATTGATGTTCATTTGAATCAGTTAGGAAACATGCTAGTACCAGGGCTTTAATATGTTTGTGTTGATTATTTAACCAACTGTGTCCCTTTTGGAGTCTGTAGAATTGGATATCACCTGCTGTAATTTCAGAGGTTAAGTCCAAATCTTGATACTGAAAGATAATTTGTTTAGTTTTCAGAAAATATTTTTTTTTCAGATGTCTAGTTTCGGTGCTTTAGACATAAGACATAATAAATGTGTCTTTGGTTGTCACTGTTGGTGGAATAAAGTCAAAGATCTGCAATCATAACTGTGTTGCCTCGTTCATATAAGTGACGTCCAGTTTTAAAGTTTGTGCTTGTAGTTCATATGACGCCCCGATGCTACAAATTACTAAATTCGTCTAAATTGGAACATTTTGTGGACTGATGGCGTAAGGGTGGGACATTTTTAAAGGGGCAGATTTATATATTTTCCAGGCAGATAGTGCCATTTTATAGCACAATAAAATAACTCCACTTACAAAAATGCTGAATAAAGCTGAAAATATATTTATTGTCTTAAGTCAAATATGAATCTTATCATAGCAAAAAACTAATCATATAAAATGTCTTCAACAAAAACTTGTCTCAAAAGACACAAACTGCGGTTTATGAGTGATTTTGGAGGTGGCCTGTTTTTGTCAAAAGCACCAAAACTTTACTTTTCACTTTTTCATTTTATGTTTTTATTGCTGCTTTGGATTTAAAATTCAAAACTGTATGAAAATCAAGATAAAAACTTTGACATTTCTTCTTTACTTTGATAATAAATCAATGTAATTAAATCACTGCTAAAGATAAAGTAGGAACAATGTAAACAGATCATTAGTTGCTCATTGAAAAGAAACACATCGAAACAAACTGACCTGCTGAAAAGACAAAACTTGGATCTCTGTAGTTTGGTTTTCCACGTCCTGCTTCACACACATAACCTGCTGTATTATTGAGTCCATGAACAATGTAGAAATTCTCATCAGTCCCATCAGAGCTGCCAGGCAGCAGCTCATAGCTGTAGGATCTGCGTGGTGGATCAGGAACAGCTTTATACCAGAAGAACCTGGTTCCTGAAGGTGAAGGTTCAACCTGACAGCTCAGAGTCACTGAGGCTCCAGGACTCAGCCATGATGGAGACACAGAGAGTTCATCTGTTGGAGAGTCACATTGATGTTTTCAACACTGTTACTTTTCAAACAGTCAAGTGTTATAATATTTCTATGTAACCCAAAGGCTTCAATTTAAAAAAATATATAGTTTGACAAACTAGAATATTTTCGAGTTGTAGTATATTAAAAAAGATTTTAATGCCTCCTAACTACATTTTTAAAAAACACTCTTAAATGTTTATTTCATTTTCTCGCCTTAGAATGAACTCAGAGAGAAATGTTAGTTTGTATCTTACTCTTACATCCTATTTTAATGATCTACTCTTGCACAACTATCAATAGCGATGTACATGTAAAACTAAGACAGACTTGAGTTAAATCAAACTTTTGTGCTGAACTCAAGACATACATTAAATTGTAATTTCGTCCATTTGTACAATTAAGGAAGAACAACGTTGGAAAAAGGATGAGACCAATTAGTGGCTGAAATATCTAAAATATTAACACTGATAACAACTGCTATGTAAACATAGGTCCAGAAAAACACACTCAGCTTACTCATACCAAACACATTAAATATTTATTTTATGATTTATGATCAACTTACACAAAGTTAATACGACAACATCGCTCCAGTCTGTTGATTCATCTCCACTTGTTCCTCTGCAGCTGTATTATCCACTATCAGACTCTTTAGCTGAAGTTATGATAATGTATTCCTGGGATGTTTGAGGTTCATTTAACCTGGTTGGTCTCCATTCAAAGGTCCATTTTCTTCCTTCTCCTCCTGGGATCTCACACTGGAGAATAACTTTCTCACCTCTGTATATCAGAGGCCAGTTTGGGTTCAGGGTCACAGTGGCTCGATTGAGAACTGTTCACATAAACAACATAATGTATTAGTTTAAGAGAAAGAATTTAACTTTATTTGACGAGTTGTGAATAAGACACCGTCATAAACATGATATAACGCCAGTCACAAATATGAAGTAAGTCTTTGTGAATATTTATTACTGTTGTCATAAAGTGTCATTCGGTAAATCATGACACTTTCAATACAAAGTTTACATTATTCAATATTTCTTCGCTGTGACAACTTGACATTAACTAAGAAATTATGATCTGACCAATTTGTTATAAAACTATTACTAATTAAACTTTAAAAAATTATGTATCTTTCTGTGGTTAAAGCTCAAATTTAAAAGTTAAAGCTAAAACATTATAAAAGTTTCTGTTTTGGTTGGCACTCACATTTTTCACCTACTAAATAGCTCTTTACCATACACTTTTTTCACTTACACTTTTAAAGGCCTCGCCTTTTCTCCTCCAAACATATTGCTGGGTGTTGTGGCCAAACAGCTCGATTTTTGTTTTGTCTGACCCCAGAACTTTCCTCCAGAAGGTTTTATCTTCGTCCATGTGATCAGCTGCAAACTTCAGCCGAGTCTTAAGGTGCCTTTTCTGGAGCAAGGGCTTCTTTCTTGCACGGCAGCCTCTCAGTCCATGGCTCTTGACCATCCTGACCAATCTCCTCTCGGCAGCATGTGATAGCTTGCATTTTCTTCCTGATCGTGGCAGTGACACAACTGTTCCATGCACTTTATACTTGCGAATAATTGTCTGCACAGTTGCTCTTGGGACCTGTAGCAGTTTCGAAATGGCTCCAAGTGACTTCCCTGACTTGTTCAAGTCAATAATTCGCTTTTCAGATCAACACTGAGTTCCTTTGACTTTCCCATTGTAGCTTTTGAGGCTGAGTCTAATCACAGGGTCAAATGAGCCCTATTTCAATGGGCTCAAGAACAGTAAACAACTGTAGTCAATCAGAATCACTTACAAGAAGTGAAGAGACCATGACATGAAGCTAATTTGATTGACACAACTCTCTATATCACCAAAATTTACCATTTATGTTGCTGTATGTATATTTTTGATCTAGCAGATTTGGTGACATTTTCAGCAGACCCATAATAAATTTATGAAAGAACCAAACTTTATGACTGTTTTTTGTGACAAACAGGTATGTGTCTCGATCACTCTATCACAGAAAAATAAGAGTTGTAGAACTTATTGGGAACTCAAGACAGCCATGACATTGTGTTTTTTACAAGTGTATGTAAACTTTTGACCACAACAATACATACATACATAAATATATGTATATATACATATATATGTTTATATAAATATGTAAATATATGTATATATGTACAGATATATTCATGTATGTATATGTAGAGATATATATATAAACATTTTTCCGGACTATTCAGTGATTTATCATCCTCTCTCATCTCTCCTTAATGGCTGAAAATGCACCTTATCACTAACAGCCACAGTGCAGAACCAGGAAACCGACTTTCTTTCTTAACATTATATATTCACCAAATCTAAAGTTCTAGCTCCCAAACTCTGGTTTGATGCAATAACCCTTGAATATCTCATCCAAGAATGTTCAAGGTTCGTTGGTGGATGGCAGGAAGGATCTCCAGTGTTCAATCTTCCAGTGATCTGAAGAAGACTGTGACTGAAAACAGTGTTGCTGTCTGACATTTTGATGACTCATGTAACGTGTCCCAAAAAGCAACGAAAAGAAAGAAAAATGAACATGAACAAAAACCCACAGGAAAATAAACGACAGCCACGTCAACAGCGCATCTCCATCTGATACAGGAAGGAAGGTGAGGGGCTGCTGATTAGTGCGGCAGAGATCTCCATGCTCACCACTCTTTGTATGATGTCACAACTAGTCATGCTTGTGATGTCATCGTCTCTGTTCTCTTATGTAGCAAACTTCCACCTTCTGCTCATTGCTAGCTACACGATGACCAGTTCAGACGTACGCAAAGCGCCAATAAAGTCGAGGTTGACATTGTTTGCAGATCGAGATATGCCGTATCAAAGGCCACAGCATCCCAAGGCGGGTTCAGATCCCAGCCGAGGGCGTGGAGAGGTGGACAACAACAACAAGGATGGAGTGAGAACAGAGCGTCTCCCGCTGAGCTCCAGAGAGAACTCCAGAGACTTGGCTCTCTCTTGGAAATGGAGCGAGCCAAGTGGTTTCAAGAGAACCAAAAGGTGCTCAGTCTGGAGAAAGAGCTGAAAGACACCAAAGCTGAGCTGGAAAAGCAGAGAAATCTCAAGAAGGTTTTTATTAACAGGGGCAAAGAAATGAAGAGAACACTGCTGGCAGTAGAGAAGTTTGCTAATAGCGAGACTCTCAACCCTGTCGCCATCGCTTCCACTCTCCACAGCGAAGTAAGACACAAGAGGAAAAGGCTGCTGCAAGAGGACCTGGAGCAGCTGAAGGTGTCTTGCATTGTCAACGAGGAAGCGTTCACCTCAGAAATCAAGGCGGAAAAAGAAAGAGGTGACGCCCTCCACAAAGAGCTGAAAGAAATGAAGACGCGATACGAGGAGCTTAAATCAAAATATGAAGCCGACGATCGTGAGGAGAAGCTCCAGGTCGAATCTAAGATGTTTTACGAGGAGAAACTCGAGCAGAACGAAAAGCGCTTTGAAAAGCTGAGAGCCGAGAAGGAGGACCTGGAACGACAAATATCCCAGGAGATAGCCAACTTCAGAAAAACAGAGAGTCTTCTCCGAAGTGAACTGGAACGAACTAAAGATTCTCACCAGAAACTTATGGCTACATATGAAAGGGACGTTTCTGCTCTAAGAGAGCAGGCACAGATATTTAAGCAGGGCGTCGATAAGGAAATTAGTGCTCTTTCACACAAATTGATGAGGGACCTAAAGACTATTGATGAACTGGAGTCCGAGAAAGACCAGCTCCAAAAAAAACTCATGGCATTCCGGCAGATGCACTCGGTCAAGAAGGTGAGCTACAAAAGAAGGGAAAATCTGGAGACGGCGATGCAAGACACAGAGGAAGTCAGACCTCCGAGAAGGAAAGTGGCCAGGCGTGATGACAGTGTGCCTGAAAACAACGTTGATGATGATATGGATCTGGACAGTCTCATAGAGGAGATGCTATCAGAGGAAATGGAAGTACCTGACACATCTCCAGAGGAGCTGAATGACTTTGTAGAGGAGATGCTGAGAGATTCAGCCATTCTATATCAAAATCCCATGCATGCAAGAAACTTCTGTGTGTGAAAGAGGCGAGAAAACTGAAAAGTCAGATCCGGAGCCCGCGGAGGCGAGAGGCTCCTCAGCAAGTCTGGAGAAGATGCTGCTCTCTCTGGATCTCAGGAATCTGCAAAAAATGAGACAAACGCAAGGAGGCCACTAAAACAAGAAATTAAACCCTTTCAAAAATTTCCAAATATTGCACAATAAAAACAGTAATAAGCCATGGCTTAGCTGCAGCCACACAAAAGAGATGTCTCATTTTTGACTGGGCGCCTCTTTCTATTTGTGGTTGTAGGTTGTTTCTTGGTGATTGTGGGTTTTCTCCAGGTGCTCCGGTTCCCCCACTAAAGTCTAGTAAATTGGCCAATATAAAGGATGTCTTAAAGAAAGGGCTCACTGGTTTCAAAAAACTGCTAAATGGTTCATATTTGAGGAACATATGTGCCATTTAAAGACACTGCAGCTCATACCTGGAATTGTTTGCAGAGCTGGATTTTCCAGATACAGTTGGAATCAAATTGAGATTCTCTATGCATATTTTGTGAGGCGTCGACTCTTTGCAGAATCTACATACCAACTCTACTAATTATCCCCTCCATGATGAGTCTGGGCTGCTACCATCAAGCAGCTCAAATACAGAACAAATGGATAGGAAAACATTTTTAGGCAGGATGTATAATAAATTCTAAATATAATATTTGGAGTTCATAATTACAGACTATATATAAATTATATACATAAATATATGTATATATACATATATAAATGAATATGTGTATACATACATACATAAATAAATATGTGTATATATACATATAAATGAATATGTGTATACATACATACATAAATATATGTGTATATACATATATAAATAAATATGTGTGTATATATACATACATAAATAAATATGTGTATATATACATATATAAATAAATATGTGTGTATATATACATACATAAATAAATATGTGTGTATATATACTACATAAATATATGTATATATACATATATAAATGAATATGTGTATACATACATAAATAAATATGTGTATATACATATAAATAAATATGTGTATATATACATATAAATGAATAGTGTATACATACATACATAATATATATGTGTATATATACATATAAATAAATATGTGTGTATATATACATACATAAATATATGTATATACATATATAAATGAATATGTGTATACATACATACATAAAAAATATGTGTATATATACATATATAATAAATATGTTATATATACATATATAAATAAATAAATATGTGTATATATACATACATACATAAATACATAAATATATGTATGTATACATATATATGTTTATATACATATATAAATGTATTTATATACGTACAGATATATATATATATAAACATTTTTCCGGACTATTCAGTGATTTATCATCCTCTCTCATCTCTCCTTAATGACTGAAAATGCCAGGAAACCGACTTTCTTTCTTAACATATATATTCACCAAATCTAAAGTTCTAGCTCCCAAACTCTGGTTTGATGCAATAACCCTTGAATATCTCATCCAAGAATGTTCAAGGTTTGTTGGTGGATGGCAGGAAGGATCTCCGTGTTCAATCTTCCAGTGAATCTGAAGAAGACTGTGACTGAAAACAGTGTTGCTGTCTGACATTTTGATGACTCATGTAACGTGTCGGAAAAAGCAACGAAAAGAAAGAAAAACGAACATGAACAAAAACCGACAGGAAAAATAAACGACAGCCACAGCAACAGCGCATCCCCATCCGATACAGGAAGGAAGGTGAGGGGCTGCTGATTAGTGCGGCAGAGATCTCCATGGTCACCACTCTTTGTATGATGTCACAACTAGTCATGCTTGTGATGTCATCGTCTCTGTTCTCTTATGTAGCAAACTTCCACCTTCTGCTCATTGCTAGCTACACGATGACCAGTTCAGACGTACGCAAAGCGCCAATAAAGTCGAGGTTGACATTGTTTGCAGATCGAGATATGCCGTATCAAAGGCCACAGCATCCCAAAGGCGGGTTCAGATCCCAGCCGAGGGCGTGGAGAGGTGGACAACAACAACAAGGATGGAGTGAGAACAGAGCGTCTCCCGCTGAGCTCCAGAGAGAACTCCAGAGACTTGGCTCTCTCTTGGAAATGGAGCGAGCCAAGTGGTTTCAAGAGAACCAAAAGGTGCTCAGTCAGGAGAAAGAGCTGAAAGACACCAAAGCTGAGCTGGAAAAGCAGAAAAATCTCAAGAAGGTTTTTATCAACAGGGGCAAAGAAATAAAGAGAACACTGCTGGCAGTAGAGAAGTTTGCCGATTCTGAGACTCTCAACCCTGTCGCCATCGCTTCCACTCTCCACAGCGAAGTAAGACACAAGAGGAAAAGGCTGCTGCAAGAGGACCTGGAGCAGCTGAAGGT